CTGACCGCCCCCCCCCCACCTCGGGGCTGGGCGCCAGACCGGAGGGGCCGAGGGCGGGAGTGACGCGGTGGGGGTGATGGTGGGCGATGTGACACAGGGTGTGGGCGAGGCCGCTGGGTGCAGGTTGGGGCCGGGGAGGGAGGGATGAGTGGCGTCCGGCGGGAGGTTCCGGGGGGAATGATGTGTGACTTGGTTAAGCCAGGTCCCCACCCCGTCAGCCAGGCCAGGTCGCTAACCACTGGACGGCCTGGTCGTTGCTGCTTTTGGGGGGAGGGGCATTCCTGGGGGTCTGCTCCGACTCCTCCTTCTCCCCGGCGAGCTGGGGCGGGCCCCTGGGTGTGCCACCCTGTCAACTCGCTCTGCCCCCAGACAGCCCTGGGCGGGGCTGCCATGGTCCGGGCCAGGCCTGGGTCAGGCTCGGTCCCTCCTCATCCCGCCCCCTCTCCCCCCCCGGAGCCCCCGCCCCCGGCCCCGCCGTGGGCGTTGGCGGAGCCCCCCTGACAGGCGGGGTGACAGGCGCCATGAGCTTCACACCCACTGCAGGGCCCTCCGGCTGCCGGGCCCGGCTCCAGGGCTCCGGCCCAGGTCCCTGTCCTGCTCCACCGTATCCGGGCGGCCGGGGGCCTGGCCTCAGGGATGGCCGGGTCTGGCGGGCACGGGGGCACCCGGAGAGGGACACCCCGAGCCTCTGAGTGGCAGCCGGGCTCCCGCCTGGACCCTGCAGCCCGGAGCAGGCCGGGGGGGGGGGGGGGGCGCATGGCTCCAGAGCAGAAGGCCCGAGGGCGCAGACTCTGAGCTCTGCCTGGCGCCGCCCCGAGTGCGCGGAAGGTGACATCAGCGGCGCGGAAAGGTCACGGATGACCCGGCGCCACGCGGTGGGGCGGCAGCGGGGGGAGAGGAGGAGCCGCCAGGGGCTGCTCAGGGGCCCCGGGGGGAGGGACCTCCCTGGGCACCGGCCGCCGGGAGGAGCTGGCTGGCGGAGCGGGCGCATGCAGGCTGTGGCTGAGGGGCCGCGGGTCACCTCGGCCGGCGCGGGGACAGGAGCGCCCAGGGGACCTCCAGAGCGGGGAGGGCGTCCGGCCCAGAGGTCCTCCAGACCCAGCGATGGGCCCGCCGATGGGCTCCACGTGGGCAGAGGGCAGCGCTGGGCCCAGGGTGCGAGGCCCGGCTGAGGCTGCCGCCTGCCGCCCACGGGAGAAGGGGAGGACTCGGGTCTGGGAGTCGCCCTGGACAGCGGCCACGCCTACGTCCGGTCTAAAGACGCCCCCGCGACACCCTGCCAGGATGGGGCCCACGAAAGGTCCCCAGATCAAAAACTCAGAGAGAACCCCCATCCTCCCCGCCCAGGGCGGACTCGAACCCGAGGCCGGTGCTTATACCCGCCGGGTCCCGCTCCCTCCCTGCTCCCAGGCGCAGGCTGCCCCGGGGCACAGCCCCCCTGTCCCGTCGCTGAAGGCATCCTCCTTCCAGAGCACCTCCATCCCACGCTGTCAGCCCCGAGCAGCCGGCCGGCCGGGGGCTCCACTCCCCGCCCGGCCTTCCTCTCCCTTCCTCTCCGGCTGCCCTCGGGAGGGCCGGGGAGGCCGGGCGGCTCCCGGTGCAGGAGGAGGAGGAGGCCAGCCGGTCCGCAGGGCAGGGGCTCACAGGTCATCCCTGAGCCACATAAACCCGGCCAGAGGGCGGCGCTCCGGCCACACGTGGCAGCCACGTGGGGCCCGGGGGCGCTGACATCACCGTGGGGAGCCGCGCCCGAGGCTGGCGGGCAGCTGGCACGCGCTGGGCCCTGGAGCTCACGGCCCCGGGCGGGCGCAGCAGGCCGGGCCCGCGGCAGAGAGAGCGGCTGGGGCGGCGGGTCCGGTGCTCTGGGGGCTGTGTGCACACAGGGGCGCCGGGCGACCGCACCAGGCCCCGGGCCTGCACCCCGGGCTCCGGGAAGGGGCTGCCCGCTGGAGACCCGCCCTCCGCGGGGAGCCCCCGGCCTGGCTCCCGCCCCCCAGACCTGGACGGACCCCCCGGCTGCCGGGGCAGAGCCTCCGCTGTGCTTACGCAGGAACCCGGCGTGGAGGGGCGGCGAGAAGCGGGAGAAGGTTCCGGAGAGGAATGCAGCCGCCCCAGGCCCGGGATCCGGAATCGGCCCTGCAGCGGCCAGACAGGCCGCCCGCTGAGCTGGCGGGGACGGTAGCCGAGGCCACAGGAGGTCAGGGGGCGGGGCCCTGGTTTATAACTCAGGGAAGCACACGTCGTGGTGGAGACTTTTAAAGGGGGAAGTTAAAAATAATAATAATAAAAAAAAAATAAAGGGAGAGGTGGCGGGGCCCTGGGCTCACGGAGGAGGATGGGCCGATGCCTGCGTGAGGGGGGAGGGGGCTGGCCCTGGACAGCGTCCCCGCAGCCCCCCTCCCCCGCCCCCGCAGGGCACCGGCCTGCGGCCCCTCCCCAGGCCCCTGCTGCCCCCGCAGTCCCCCCCATGCTCCTCCTTCCCTCCGGGCCTGGTGGTGCTCAGGGACCGGGGCTGCGGGAGACACGGATGTGCTGTGCGGACGGGGCAGTCCTCACTCTTCCTCCCCGCCTGCCCGGCCCTGGGAGGCGATGGAGACATGGACAAGAGAGGCCGGAGTGTGGGAACCCGGTGCAGGGCTGTGGGCAGCGGACGAGGCGCGGGCTGGAGCCCTGCCCGGAGGGGCTGCGGGCGCCTGTGCCCACCCCAGGGCGCGGCCAGGCTGGTGTGTCCCGGAGCTGTGGCCTGGGGGCGGGTGGGTTTGTGGGTTCAGGGAGGGAGGAGCTGTGGGGGGGAGGCCGCCCCCCGCAGGGCCCCCCGGCTGTACCTACCGGGCCTCGGGCCGGGAGAAAGCTGGGGCGCCCGGAGGCTGGAGCCACGTGGAACCCACTTGGGGGACGGGGCCGGCCCCCTCCGGCCTGGCCTCACCCCGCCTCCCGCCGGCCTCTGCGCTGGCGCGTGACCCACTCAGGCTCATCCAAGCCGCCAGGTGTTTGGTTTCGGACGATCCCCGCGAGCAGGATGCTCGGACTGTCGGGCACGGGGAGGGGGGTGGGGGGGAGGACCTCCAGCCAAACTCTGTCCCGGCGGGGGGGGGGGGGGGGGCGGGAGAGCGAGAGCGAGCTCACGCCAGGGAGGTGAGCCGGCCCGGCCCCGCCGCCCGCCCCCCGCCCCCCGCCCCCGGGGACGGTGCTGGAGACCGGCATCCACGGGGTTTCCCGACGGGCCTCCAAAGTCACTGCAAAGAACACGTTACGTTTATCATCAGAAAACCAGTGAGGAGGGTTTGTGAAATCCGGAAAGAGGTGAAGTCAACAGAACTCCCCTCACCCCCCGTGGCTCCGACCTCCTCGCGGTCAGAGTGCATTTCAGAGGGAAAGGGCCTCAGCAGAAGCCGCCGGGGGTGCGGCTCTCCAGCCGTGGCCCGGTGCGTGGTGGTCCCGTGGCCCGGTGCGTGGTGGTCCCGTGGCCCGGTGCGTGGTGGTCCCGTGGCCCGGCGCGTGGTGGTCCCCTGGCTGGGCTCACGCGTCCCCACGCGCTGGGGCCTAACGGCTTCCTCTCGGCTCCGGAGGCCGCGCCCGCAGGTGGAGGGGTCCGTGCCCGCCTCTCCCCGCTCCGGGGCGGCCGGCATCCTGTGGCCGGTGGCCGCTCCCTGTGTCTCCGAGGCCAGCGTCTCCCGGCCCCTCCGCTCCGTCTCGCACCCCCACGCCCGGCGGCCGGTCTCCGCCCCCTCCCTGGGGTCCGGGGGAAGCGTCCGGGGTCCACCCTGCCGTCCGGGTCACCTCCCTCTCAGGTCCTCCCCGAACCCGCCCACGAGGACCCTCTCCACGGAGGCGCCGGGCCCGGGGGACGTGGCTCCGCCTCCCGAGCCCGCAGCCGCCCTTGGGCCGCCCTCCAGCTCCGCTGAGGGCAGGCGGGTGTCCCCAGAGTCCGGGCATTGCCTCCGCCCAGGAAGAGGCCCTTGTTATGGGCAGACTGCATTGGGGTCCTGTCCTGGGCAGGAGGGCCGGGGGCAGGGGCAGGGCCGCCCTGCAGAGAACCATGCCGGGCGGCTGGCCGGTCACGGGGACACCCAGCCCACGTGGCGGGCGGGATCCGTGCACTGAGGGCCGCACGGGGTGGGTGGGGGCAGCAAATAACGAAAATGAGCAAAGGGCAAACGTGGCTTCAGCTCACAGGGGTGGCACTCTCCGCCGGCCGGCAGGCCCACGTGGCGGGCGGCTCAGCGGCGGCCACAGGCCCGCCCCCTCCCGGGAGGAGCGGACGGCCGCGTGGCCGGGGAGCCGCACACTCCTCACCGGCCGAGCGGGCAGGCGCTGTGTCCGCGGGCCCGGCCAGCCCTGGAGGTGAGGGAAGCTTCCGGAGCAGCGGTGTCCCGGCTCCCTGCCCCCCCCCCCCCCCCCGCCCCCGCCGCCCGGGGCCCAGGCAGCAGCGGGAGCCCCCGCCCGCCCTCCCGCCCGCCCCTGCCAGAGGCGCTGAGTCTGGGGAAAAGGGCGCGGCTCCCGGGGACAGCTGAGACTCCCTGACTCATGCGTGTGGTAGGAATCTTCCAGGAAGTCTGTCCCGCTCCCGCTGCAGGGCGGGGCGCTGCTCGGCCACCGCGGGCGGACAGACGGACGCCGGGCGCCGGGCACCGGCAGCTGCTGCTTGGGCTCCTGGGCAGGTGCTCCTGAGGCCGGTCAGCGCCCCTCCTCCTCCTCCTCCTCCTCCTCCTCCTCCTCCTCCTCCCCTGCTGCTCGGGGCAGCCGCCCGGAGGAGCCGTCGGACCGGGAGAGGAAGGCGGGAGCCGCCAGGAGTCTGACTCCCGGGCTCCGGGCAGCTTCTCGGAGTGGATATCAGCGAGCCGAGCACCACGGCCGGGCCGGGGGGCGGAGAGAGGCCGCGGGGAGCCGAGCTGCCGCCCAGCCCGGCACGGCCCTCCCTGCCGCTCCCGCCGCCCGCCCGCCCGCCCGCCCGCGGGCCGGACCCCTCGGGCCCAGTGCTGGTCGTGCCCCTGGTCCTCCTCCCCCTCTCCCCCGTCCTCCTCCTCCTGCTCCTCTTTCCCTTCCTCACCGGCCTCCTCTTCCTCCTCTTCCTCCTCTCCCTCCTGCTCCCCTTCCTGCTCCCTCTGCTCCAGCCCTCCGATTAGTCAGTGCTCCGCGGGGCCCCGGAGCGGCACATGGAGGCGTGAGCGCCCGGCCGCGGACTGAGGAGCTCCTGGAGGCGGAGGAGGCGGAGGGAGGGCCACGGAGAGCGAGGAGCCCCTGAGCTGGGACGGGACGCCGCCCCTGCCAAGTCCGTGGACGTGATGGAGAGAGACCGGATCTCAGGTAGGCGAGCGCCCCCCCCCCCATGCTCCGGGGACCGGCGTCCCGGCCCGCTCGGGCTCACGCTGTGGACCGGCTGCTCCCCCTGCGGGCTGCTCTCCCTGGGGGCTGCTCCCCCTGCGGGCTGCTCCCCCTGGGGGCTGCTCCCCCTGGGGGCTGCTCCCCCTGCGGGCTGCTCCCCCTGCGGGCTGCTCCCCCTGCGGGCTGCTCCCCCTGGGGGCTGCTCCCCCTGGGGGCTGCTCCCCCTGCGGGCTGCTCCCCCTGGGGGCTGCTCCCCCTGGGGGCTGCTCCCAGGTCGTGGCAGGTCACGCTCCAGAGGCGAAGCGGCCGCCTCTAATGTATTAAACGTGGCCCCTCCCTGTACCATCCCCCCGCCGCTGTCCCCCCCCCCGCGTCGGGAGGCGCTGGGACAGGCCGCGGCCGGACGCCGGGGGCGGTGGGGACTTGGCGCCGGGTCTGGCGGCGGCAGGCGGGGACAGCGGCTGGTGGCTCCTTCGTCCGCCGTGCGGTCTGCGCCGTCGCTGCCGCCGGCCCGTCTTCCAGGCCGCGGGCTCCTCCCGAAATAGCTCTGTGCCGTCCCGGCCTGATTACAGGGAGGAGGAGAGGGGCAGATGCGTGCGTGTGTGCGTGTGTGTGCATGTGCATGCGTGTGCATGTGTGTGCGTGTGTGGCGTGGGGGGCGTTGGGAGGATCGTGCCTGGCTGACGGGCTTGTGCGGGCCGTGCTCCCTGGGAGCCTGTGATGAGAGGGGCAGTGGCCACGTTGGGAGGGACCTTTCAGGCCGGAAGGTGAGCAGCTGTGGCTCTGCCTGCATCGCCGTGTGAACCTCTGGCCGCGCCACAGGCAGGAGGGGCCGGGGGCTGGCCCCCGAGCCGTGAGCCCCAGAGCCAGGCCAAGTGGCCCCCCATGTCGGCAGCCCCCACGGAGCCGGCCCGGACCGGGGGACACAGACCGGGGGACACAGACCGGGGACACAGACCGGGGACAGACCGGGGGACAGACCGGGGGACAGACCGGGGGACAGACCGGGGGGACACAGACCGGGGGGACAGACCCGGGGACACAGACCGGGGACACAGACCGGGGACACAGACCGGGGGACAGACCGGGGGACAGACCGGGGGACAGACCAGGGGACAGACCGGGGGGACACAGACCGGGGGGACAGACCGGGGGACACAGACCGGGGACACAGACCGGGGACACAGACCGGGGGACAGACCGGGGGACAGACCGGGGGGACAGACCGGGGGACAGACCGGGGGACAGACCGGGGACACAGACCGGGGGACAGACCGGGGGACAGACCGGGGGGACAGACCGGGGGACAGACCGGGGACACAGACCGGGGACACAGACCGGGGGACAGACCGGGGACACAGACCGGGGGACACAGACTGGGGGACAGACCGGGGACACAGACCGGGGACACAGACCGGGGACAGACCGGGGGACAGACCGGGGACACAGACCGGGGACACAGACCGGGGGACAGACCGGGGGACAGACCGGGGACACAGACCGGGGGACAGACCGGGGGACAGACCGGGGACACAGACCGGGGGGACAGATCGGGGGACAGACCGGGGGACAGACCGGGGGACAGACCGGGGACACAGACCGGGGACACAGACCGGGGACACAGACGGGGGACACAGACCGGGGGACAGACCGGGGGACAGACCAGGGGGACAGACCGGGGGACACAGACCTGAGGCAGGCGAGGGCGGCCAGGAGAGGGGCTGCCCTGAGGGCCCGGGAGGAGGCGCCTCGGGCCAGGCCGGCCTCCCGCCCGGGCTGTGTCCGCTCTGACCGCGATGGGTGACTCCCGCTCACGATGGCTCCGCCGCCGCCGCGCCCCTCGGCCGGCCGGGCCCCGAGCAGGGCTGTGCGTCCCGGCCGCTGCCCGCTCTGCGCGCCGTGTGCCGGCCGACCCTGTGCCAGCCGGAGGGCGCCAGGTCGCGGTGCCGTGGCTGGCTGTTCGCCGCGGGGCTGGGAGGAGGCCAGGCAGAGGGGCCCGTGCCCGCGGGCGGCACCCACACCTGGCACGGCGGGCTCCCCGCGGGGGGGAGGGAGCCGTGGACTCGCGGTGTGCGCTGAGCTTGGTGACGGGGCCCGCGGGGCGGACGGGCTCAGGAGCCAGGGTTTCCTGCTCAGCGTGGCAGGGCCGCTGGTCCGGGGCCACCGAGGGCCCACGGGAGGCCTGGCCAGAGGAGCAGATGTGGGCCCTGGAGCAGAGTCACGGGGGCACATCTGGTTAGCACACAGGGCGGGGCGGGGGCGGGGCGGTGGCAGCCAGTGTCCGGCCGCGGCCCGGCCTCTGTTTCAGATGACCCGGCCTGGGCCAGGGTGACCACAGGGTGACCACAGGGGACCGGAGAGCTGGCACACGGGGGTGGGGGGGTCGCTGGGGACGCGGGAGTGACGGCCACTTCGTGGCATCTCCGCTCAGCAGAGCCCACAGCTAGTCAGGAGCTGACAGCGGCCGGCTCTGGGCCTGGCCGGGCGGGGCCGCCCTTTGCCGGCAGCAGGGGGAGGCGGGAGGGGAGGCAGCAGGGGGAGGCGGGCGTGGAGCCTCCTCTCTGTGCGTGAGGGGAAGACCGGGCTTCCGTGAAACCTCATTCGGATGCATCTTTTAAAAACACAGAACAATGCCCTCCCTGCCGGCGGGCTCCGGGGCTGAGCGTCGGCCTATGAGCCAGGAGGTCAGGGTTCGATTCCCAGTCCGGGCCCAGGCCCGGGTCGTGGGCTCCATCCCCAGTGGGGGGCGTGCAGGAGGCAGCCGGTCCGTGATTCTCTCGTCATTGGTGTTTCCATCTCCCCCTCTCCTTTTTCTCTAAAATCAGTAAGAATCCGGCTTAAGTGAAAACTCACCCTAGAAACCGGTTCCGCGGAACGGTTAGAACTTTGGCCCAAAAGCCAAAGGGTTGAGGGTTCGGTTCCGGTCAGGGGCACGCACCTCGGTTCCAGGTTCCATCCACGGCCCAGGTCACGTGCATGCAGGAGGCAGCCAGTCATTGTGTCTCTCTCATTGGTGTCCCCCCCCCCTCCTCATTCTCCTTCTCCTCCTCCTCCTCCTCTTCTTTCTCCTCCTCCTCCTTTAGAGAGAGCTGAACTCCCTCTAATGAGATAGTATTTGCAGGTGAGGATTAAAAACAGCCACAAAAGCGAACAAACAAAACCCACTCCCGTGAGGCTGTCACCGCTCATGCCCACTGGCCTGGTGTGGAAGGTGTGTCCAGCCAGCTCTCACCACTGCCCAGTGGCTGTCCGTGAAGGGCTGGCTGGGACGGGCGGGTCTGCCACCTCGGGAGGGCCCGGGGGCAGATGGCCTGGGCTCCACCGGGGTTGTGAGCCGGACCCGGCCGTGTCAGGCCCCCTGGCCTCCCGGACAGCCGGGCTGAGTCGCGCAGGGACTGGCCGCTGAGACTGGAGCCGCTCCTGCCGCCCCGCCCGCTCCTGCCCGCCGGACGCTGTGGCTCTCACAGACTGAGCCCTTTCGTCTGGTTCCAGCTGGCCTCTCCGTCCTCCCATCCCTCCGTCCTCCCGTCCCCCCGTCCTCCCGTCCCTCCGTCCTCCCGTCCCTCCGTCCTCCCGTCCCCCCGTCCTCCCGTCCCCCCGTCCCCCCGTCCTCCCGTCCCCCCGTCCTCCCGTCCCTCCGTCCTCCCGTCCCCCCGTCCCCCCGTCCTCCCGTCCCCCCGTCCCCCCGTCCTCCCGTCCCTCCGTCCTCCCGTCCCCCCGTCCTCCCGTCCCCCTCTGCTGTCCCCCTTACTTCTGGGTCCCGGGCACTTGCCTCTGGCCTGGCCGGGCTCTGGTCCTGGCTTCCTGGACCTGCTCTCGCCCCCTCAGCTTCACTGGGTCTGAGATGAGGGGCCCGAAGCCCCGGCCCTGAGCCCTGAGCGCCCGGGACTGGTCCCTACAGCCGTTTCTCTGCTCGGTGACCAGCACACAGGCCTGTGCTCGCCCTCTTTTCCCCTCTCCATCCCTCTCTGTCCCTCCCTGTCCTTCCCTGTCCCTCTCTGTCTGTCTCTGCTTCTCTCTGTCCCTCCCTGTCCCTCTCTGTCCGTCTCTGCTCCTCTCTGTCCCTCCCTGTCCCTCCCTGTCCCTCTCTGTCCGTCTCTGCTCCTCTCCGTCCCTCTGTCCTTCTCTGTCCGTCTCTGCCCCCTTGGTCCCTGAGCTCCTGGGGTTCACACTGGGTGGCCTTCGGTCTCGCTCCTCCCACCTTCTGCCAGCCCAGCCCTGGCCGTGTTGCCCCTCAGCCCGGCGGTGCGTCCACAGGGCCCGGGCGCCCAAGGCCGCAGCCGCAGAGTCCGAGCTGGGAGGGTCACGCTGGGAGTCGCTGTCCGCTCACCGCCCAGGAGGGACGGCTTCGGAGCGTCGGGGCGACAGAGCGAGGGAGCTCAGCTCCGGCTCAGGGTCCTCGTCCCGAGGGAAGTGTGGTCCCGGGCTGTGCCCGCACGTGATTGGGGGGACACAGAGCAGGCCCTGCAGCCCGGCCCCGCTGGCAGAGAGAGCGGCTCGGGAGGAGGGCCGAGTGCCGGACACGTGCATGTTCCATGCCTGAGCGCCACCCCATGTGCCGCCCCGAGGGCCCCCCACTGCCTGCAGCCCCCACTGCCTGCAGCCCCCACTGCCTGCAGCCCCCACTGCCTGCAGCCCCCCACTGCCTGCAGCCCCCACTGCCTGCAGCCCATGCATGACCCTGACGGGGAAGTGGGTGCAGAACACCTTCCGGCCAGCAGGTGGCGGTGCAAGCCTCCGGAGCCCCGTTCCTCCTGGGTGCGCTGGGCCCTGAGCTCCCAGTGGCGGCTCTGGCCGGGGGAACAGGTGGGAGAGGGGGCGACACCGTGAGCCCCAAAGGCACCCCTCCTGGCGCCCCACCACGTCGTCCTGAACAGCGGGGTTCGGAGCTGGGGGTTTGGGAGGGAGGGTCCCGCCACCCCCTTCCTCCCCTGCTTTTGGTCGGTGTGCCCGATCTGTTTTAAAACGTCCCAGCGTTTCCT